GGTACAACTATTTCAATTTTGCGTAAGTTTGTCAAATTAATTAAAATTAATCAAATTTGGTAATACTCTTCATTCTGATTCAGTCCATTATAATATGAGCTCTTCAAATATTTGCACTGTATTATCTTGAACCCTGTATATTTCACGTTTTAAAATCGTATTAAGTGATGTGAAACATACTTAACGTTTGATGAAAATTTAAATGCTCTCTTAAAACGTAAACTGTTTATAGTTTAACTTTTAAATATTCGATGAAATGACAGAAAGTATATTCAAATTTTAATTAATCTAAACTCAGAATTCGTCCGCGTCCAAGAAAAGCACAGTTCTCTAATAGTACCAATCTTTAGCTGTAACTCTTAAACTTCTAGCCAGTTATAAATATTTTAGATAGTACAATGTTGTTTCGTTTTTTCTAAAATACATAATTATAAACCTGTATAATTTGAAATAGTTTCAAAAAAGTAATAGTGAATACATCGAAATTACTGTGAGACACCCTATATTCTAAGAAATCGATAAAAACACTCAAAATTTTTGCATCGAAATATATTTTAAAACATGGGTATATTTAGCGACTGTAATAAAATAGATTTTATAAACGTAAATCAACAGATAATACATTTTTTAACCATTAAGTTGGTTAGATTTCCAATGTTCTCGTCACATAACATTATTTTTTCAGTCATAAAAAACATACAAAAGAATTATACTATCCTTCTGTTAATTTCGGCTTGATTTTTTTTAATAATTTAAAAATCGTCTTGTTTGACGTCTATGTTTTATTACGTCGTCCTCAGTAAAAGTGCCTTAAAGTCATTAAATAGTATTTAAATAAAATATACATAATTTTTAAAGCAAGCACATGTCTATGATTAGAGTAATTTTTTATTGTTTTTTTAGCTCTATGTTATTCCAAAACTACGTGATAATTTATAACGCATTTAAAAATTACTTAGAATTTTCAATGGAAAGACATGGCAGCGTGTTTAAATAGTGTCAATTGAACAAAAGCTTTGGCATTTACAATTGATTATGAATAGAAATGTTGCGACAATTGTATTGTTTGTATTATAAAAATGATGGCCATCACAAATCTACGTTTCGTTGTTTAACTTACTGGTTTAAATTTTACCGTATTTATATCTTTGTTCATAGGAATTAAAACTAAATGTTATTTCACGCAAATAAAAGTTAAGTTAGAAAAAATTTTCAACCTCGCCGAATTAGTCCACAGTACATCTACCCCTGCTTTGCTTGATTGTCACATATTTAAAACTTCGTTTTTTTTACGGGTCTACCACCGTTTTCTACTGCGCGACGCCAGAACATGTCCATTTTACGATGTTATGTAATACAATGTCCACATACTTCTTTTGCAAGGCATTTGAAATATAATTTGATAATAAACACGAAACAAGGCTTGAGCGACAGACTTAATCCGGCGATCGAATACTTTTTATGATTATTGTTGTATTAAAAAGAAAGTTATAATTTTTCATGCAAACAATGTTTCAATTTCATTCATATTTACAATTATTGTACTATTCATTTTTCCTGTAACGATCTACACAAGATATCAAATTATTTATTTTATAAAGATTAATTAATTAATTAAAAGTCAGTACTTATGTGTAATAACTAATTCTTAAATATGTTGAAAGTAACACATCAGTAATCAACTTTACTCGTCTTTTTTAAAATGTTTTCTTCATATTTATAACTTATTTGTGAGAAAATGTATACAAGTTAAAAAGCGATTTTACCATACGTTATTCTCGTTTTCTTTTTGTCGGACTGGCAATGCGGCGCAATATTTTTGTCAGACATTGAAATATTCGGTCAGACTTGTGCTAATCAGCATACCACTCATCCTAAAAATATCATATTCAGGTGGTCGGGTTGAAAAAACTGCGCTTTAAATTTGTAGGTCACTATGACCAATTAGGTGAGTGTGTATTTATTAAATAATCCTACAAAAATTATGTATGTGATAATTAGAAAACATAAACTCTTTATTTTGACATGTTGCAGCCGGATTAATTATGTCGGTCAAGCCTTGTTTCGTGTTCATTATCAAATGAACTTTCAATTGCGCTGCAAAAAAAGTATGTGGTCATTGTATTACATAACATCGTAAAATCGACATGTTCAGTCGTCGCGCAGTAGAAAACGCGGCGTTTCCGTGAACTGTGAATTTTCACAGAGGAAAAGTGTGGAAGACTCATAAAAATGAAGCCACTCACGAAGTTTTAATTAAGCAATAATTAAGTAATAATCAAGCAAAGCAGAGGTGAACATAAAATAGCCTACAAGCACTAAAAATAAACAAGATTGTTGTCATTCACTATTAGGCTAAGACCTGGCCACAAAAAATCGAAGAGGCAGATTATTTTAGACTGAATTGAAAAAAATTATAGGGCGTAAAAGGAACCTAAATTTGTATTGTGTTGTGTATGTCTGTTATGAAAGATTTGTTTTCTTTTAGACGGTTTAGAAAAATGTTTAATTTTCCTTCAGGAAAGTGATGTTCCACAAATTTTCCGAATTTTTGATTAAAAATTTACATATACTTAAAAACTATCATCGAAATTTTACCGATGTCGAAAGCGCATTTTCCAGGAAAATTAGGGGAAAATTTGAATGGTCTTTTCAGGAAAAATTTAGCAAAAAAACGTTGACATACAAGGATTTTCATGACCGGGTGTAAGAAATTTCTTTTTTTTTTAGAAATTTATGAATAGTTAAAAATAAATGATACAGGGCATGACATGCGACATAACTCACTATGTACATATTATATGTCTGTTCTTTTTCAATTTTGCTTGCATTATAAATTTCTTAGAGGATATAAAGTTATTTTTCAGATGGTTTAGGAAAATTTGAAATTGAAAGTGTATTTTGTGGATTGTTCGGTGAGACCAACTTTTTTTGACAGCAAATTGCTTTTCTGTAAATCTCCTATCAACTGGTGAAAATCGCAAAAAGTTTTCCTACTACACAACGTTCCTCGCAATCAGATTAGAAATTTATCTGATACCTTAAACACATTTCCCATGAAAATTAAGTCAGTACTACTACTGCTACTATGGATGTCTCTATGAAAACCTGATAATCTGACATAATAATACTCTCCCTCTTACGAGTGAATTTTAACCCCTTAAGTCAAATAAGCTTGTTAAGGGAAGAGACGCATATTATTATTAGTTGCCGTGGCGCTCAGGGGAGACTAACATATGATTGACTTACAGGCGAGCAATCCCTCAACCCACTCTCTAGATAATTGCTAAACACCAGACCAACCATGCTTTGCTCTGTTTTTACACAGACATCAAAATAACAAAGAACTTCGGAGCTACATTTTTGGAGTGAGTGCAAACAAAACAACCATCGTTATTGTTAAAGTTTTCATTTGACACAATTGGTCTCATATGAAATCTGACAACCTCATCCTTAACAATAACTGGGGTTTTCTTAATTTGCACTTACTCTAATAATGTAGCACAGAAGTTTGTTATTTTGGCGTCTGCATAAAACCAGAGCAACCATGGTTAGTCTGGTATTAACCTAAAATTTGAGCGACAGACATGAGAACCCACATATAGGAGAAGTTTTGATATAAATTTAATACCAGTAAATAGGCTGTCTAAGATTTACAATTTAGATACTGTGTAAGACAAATATAATCAGGGTTTTAGCATTTTTGGTGTAGAAACTATAGTCTTGAGGATGAGGTAAGCCAAAAGTTTGATCAAAATCTGTGGATTGCTACAAACCAACCAAACAATCGTGACGGAACTATATTGTCAACAACTAGGGTGATTAAAGCTTCAGAGTGCACGAGATACACGTAACTATAACAAAACTATAACTACAGCTAACTATAACTTATTTAAATAGTTAGAGTAAAAAAATAAATGCAAAAAATCGATTAGATATTGCAGTATCAACCACAAATCGTAAAATCTTAAAACCGGTTTTACAACTGCTGGGCAACTAAATTAAAATTATAGTAATGTATAATAATACATTAAGATTTTCCTAATGTTTTCTCATACACAATGTAACACAAAAAGAAAGATTATTAAAAGCTTACCATCACCATTAGTAATAAATGAAGACAGAAATACTTGCTGTCCTGAAAGCGGACGAAAACTTACTAAGATCAAAGGATTTCTTATCGAGAACGTTTACTGGTTCATCTTTATGATGTGATACAATCTCCTGAAATATCTAGGAGAACTGAATTTCTGAAAATTATTGTTGCTTGTTGGAAAATTGTTAATGTTCGGTCTCCAAAAGCAGGTTACAATTTAGCTGATTCTCTTCGTTGTCCTATTACTAGTCCTACACGTGGCAGTGTCCAAATTCTTACAAAATTTATAATTTCCTAAACGATTGGCAAAATGTAAACAGAAAAATACCGTGCATGCCAGAACAGAAAAACAGTGGAAAATTAACAAGATGGTCACGTCTGTAGGTGGGCGACATTGATATAATGTTTTTGGAAAGTTCTCACGTGTATTTATTTGTAGTTGTTTGTCATCATTTGAAGTGTTTACATTTTTGGAATGTTACCAAAATACTATTGTCTATGGAATAAGTCCATTACAGAATATAAAGATAGAAATGAACGGGACCAAGCGAAAGAAGCGCTATTAAAACTTTCTAAACTGGATAACGTGAAAGCATTAAGGGCAACTTCAAAATGATTTGTTCTAAAACATACGAGTTCCGCCATTTATTACAATTTGATGGAAGTAAATGACGAGACACTGTGTGCCCATATGAACACCTAGAGTGCGTTCTATTACCGCGTCCGGATGAAAAACGTTTCGCCTTGGCCGTTCATAATTACGGTGCGTTCAGGGTAACCCTTTCTAAATTATTTGAACATTTGCCCTGGATGACAACTGTTTACCTCTCTTTTTAGCCATACTCGTAAATTTAAAACGAAAATTTGTGGATTATTGGTTACACAAGCTCTAAATTATTTTAAAACATTTTTTCAAGAGGATTCAGACTGATGATGAATCTGATTTTGAAAGCAAGGAATTAATAGACAAATAAGACAACCCAGTACAAGAATATTAAACGTTGTAGAAATTACAGATCTTTGTACTTAGTACTGTGATATTGAATGTCAATCACTGTCAGTGTATTAGATGTCACATCAATTTCATTGTCTGAACGCGCTTTAACCCTGTACGTTGGCGTACATAGTGTAATAATAAATTCAAAACACTACTACTGAAAATTATTAAACTGATATTATTTAATGTTAGTAACAAAACAAATGTGCTAATATGACAAAAAGGTAAAATGCAATATTGGTTCGCGTAGAACATTTAACCGTATTTAAAATAGTTTATTAATTAGTCGCCACTTTTTATCAGTAAACATGCCGCTATGTCATTAACCTGAGAATTCTATGTTCCAATATTTCTTTTTATTTTTAATTGCGCCGAAATAACACAGAACCGTCTTTTTTTTGTAAAATGGTTCTTTTATTATGGGAATAATTCTAAAAACGTAGAAATTACATTGTTGAGTCACTGTGAGATCTCGATCTCGTCCTCGTGCCCGAATTTTCGAATGTATTCGAACTAGAATTGTTTGAAGAATTGCTAGGTTGTGAATTGAAGATGCTGCGGAAGACATTGTATGGAGTATTTGCTGAAACATAATGGATTTTATAGTAGAAAATTAATTTGAGTTTATTTATCCAAACAGTGATTGTTAATAAATAATTAAAATGTGTTCATTTTAGGTGGTAAACTGCAATATTTATTATACAAGAAATCACATAAAAAACGAAGCACATAAACGAAATTTATTTAAATTGAGATGATTTGGCAACCGGTTTCGGCTATAAAGCCACCATCAAGCGTTCAAAAACAAATTAGTAATTATATTTATCAAATTTTACAAAGTGTTTCTAAAACTTTTATCCAACATTCTTTCGTTGAAAAGGTATGAATAATGTAGTCTGCAAACAGAGAATAAAATATAGAAACACCATATGTGAAATTTGTAGTTAATCAACTTAAATAATAATTTACAAAAATTATCAACTGAATTGTTATTACAAAACATAACTTTTTTTCAGAAAATCATTCAAAAATCAACTTTACCTTGATTAATTTAATAATGTTAGGACATGATGGATTATTGATTTTCTAATTTATATCTGGAACTGGGGAAATAAAATATAGCTTTAGGCCCAGTATTTTGTGAGCTGATTAATTTAATTTGCAAATCAAATTTTGACAGAGAATATCGGTACTTTATGCAATGATTATAATTTATTAATGATTTAATGTGTTTTCATCAATTAAACTTTTAATCAAAATTATTGGGCTGTGCACTTATAGTTCCATAGAATTCTGGTTGGTCTTGTTCCATAGTAAATGTTTCAAATCTCATTTTATTTTTCATTTAGTTAGTGTTGTTGTGTTTTTATAATTTTCAGATATTAGGAATGGAGGAGAAAAGAGAGAGAGAGATGGTGATTTTATAAAAATTGCAACAGATATTTTAATGAAATGCCTACTAAGTGAAATTAAACACAATAAAAAAAGCTTCTTTGATTAAGAATAAAATTGATGATCTCATCATTACTATCGAAAATGTTATCAATCTCGTATAGATTCATTTTCGTACCAATTCAATAATAGGTACCTATTAAACAATTATAGCCAAGTCGAAATTCAATCAAATGCTTTAAAAACAGATTTACTATTAACATGTATTTAAACCTTGACATAATGAGTCAAACTATTTCTTTCTAGATCTAGATAATACAGTATGAGACAGTGTATGTCAATTTCTTTATCCTCAAATTTGAATAAATTCAATATCATATATAAAAACAAGAGAAAACAGTATCGCCATTACTTAAAAATGAAATAAAACATTTATTTACTAATAATTGTCATGATACCTTTAAAGTATTCAATGGCGAAAAACTACTAGACAAATCCCCTATTAATATATAAATGCGAAAGTTTGGATGTATGGATGGATGTTTGTTGCTCAATCACGCCAGAACGGCTGAACGGATCTGTATGAAATTTGACACAAAGATAGATTATAGTATGGAATAGCACATAGACACTTTTTATCCCGGAAAAATATACGATTCCCTTTGGATAGATTTGTTATTGTTTTTCACAGAGCTGAAAGGGATGAGACATGATTTTTTGCATAGTGGTAGTGAAACATGAAAATTTTAAATACAGCTACTGAGCATAAATAAATAATGACGTGTTTCAGGGTTTTTGGATTTTTACATTTTAAGGGGGGGGGGGGGAAACGGGGGTTGAAAGTTTGTATGGAGGTATAGATTTTTTAAAGGTAGGAACTAGAAAATTGGAATTATAGCTACTCATCACAAATAAATAATTGGGTGTCTTAGGGTTTTTGGATTTATATATTTTAAGAGGAAAATGGTCGAAAGGGGAGAAAGGGAAGGGGTGAGAGAGGGGATGGGGTGAGAGAGGGGAAGGGGGACGGCGGGGAAAGTTTGTATGGATGTAACGATTTTTAAAGGTAGACAATTTCAAATTGGTATTGTAGCTACTCATCATAAATAAATAGACATTAAGGGGGAAACCGGAGGTGAAAGTTTGTATAAGACTTTCGGATTTTTAAAGGTAGGAACTTAAAAATTGAAGTAGTAGCTACTCATTATTAGTAAATAATGACGTATTTCAAAGTTTTTGGATTTTCTAAATAATAATGAATAAAAATAAATAAAAAAAATAAAATAATAAAAATTAAAATTAATAAAAATTAGTAAAAATTGATAAAAACTGATAAAAATTGATAAAAACTGATAAAAATCGATAAAAATCGATAAAAATCGATAAAAATTGATAAAAATTGATAAAAGTTAATAAAAATTAGAAAGAGGGAGACGACTACTAAACTGAGTAGTAATGTTTTGGGCGAGCACGCGTTTTACAAGCTTGTCTAGTGCGGTGCTAATTTTACACCGTTGCCAAACTTTAAAATAAATGGTATACTTTGGGGGCTCCCATTAATTACGTGAGGTATTTTTGAGGATTTTTTGACCCCCCCCCCCTTCTCCCCTGGTGAGATTTCGTAAGATTTTTCTCAACTCCGTCCCCCCTCCCCTAATCTCACGTGAGATTTTTCAAAATTTGTGTTTTGAGTGTAAATGCGTTGGATTATTAAAAAAAAAAAACAAAATATGTTCTATTGCTTTTATTTAAGACTAGCAAAGACTAGTATTTGAGAATATTGCCGTAATACAAAATTTCTAGAAACATTCTTGTTGAAATTACATTCAACATGTCCTATCTGCAGGGCAGATTTTTCTTAATCAGCATTTAGCAAACAAAAAAGAATAAAAAAATTAATAGACACTCCCTGTATAAACCTCCCCACTTAACAAATAAAAAGGAATAAAATACTAAATACACTCCCTGTATAAACCAATTATCCAAAGTTGTGCAATAACCACCCATTTAACTTTCAAGTAACCTTCAAAGACACCTGCTACTTCGCGAACGGATAAAGCTAGTCACGCGAGATTTTTCACCCAATCATAAGACATATCTTAAAAACAATAGTCTCGCGTACAATCATACGAGACTAGAGAACCAATTAGAAGAAAGCTAAAAAGCCGGTGCGGGTGACGAACAACGGCAGCACAAAACTAAAATCACTTTCGCTTTCCCAGCCGACCAACGGCATTCACGATAATCAATTACAAGCATTGTGCGATTTGATTGATAAAAGTTAATATGTAAATTTTTCAATAATTCTTTGTAACAAGTGTTAAATGTGAAAATACCAAGCATTGAATATATCAAATTTAAATGTAGGGTGATGGTTTTATTTTAATACACCCAGTGCTTCAACTAGAACTTCAAGAATATCTTCCAGAGGCTACAGGGTGGAGCATAAGGCCTTCACCCCAGATAATCTATTTCGAATACAGTCCACCATGATCGAAGGCAGTATATGTCAAGCCCAATAAAACTAGGGTAGAACAATTCTTTACTTTAATTTAACTTTAATTTTACACCGTTTTCTACTAGAAAAAAAATTACGTCAGATTACAAACACCCCCTCTTCTCCAAGTGAGATTTGGAAAGAATTAGCTTGATCACCTTCCCTCCTTGAACACCTCACGTAATTAATGGACGCCCCCTTTCCTGTAAATTACCTTCAGCTACAATAATAGTTGCAAACAGTAAAATAAATTAAACTGATAATAACTGGAATTAAAAATGTAAATATACTTTTGTAAGTTTGAAAATCTTTTGTGCCTTTTAGAGCCTTATGTTAAGTAGTTCTGAATTATAAATCAAAAACAATCTTTGTATATAGACTATCTCGTAATAATTTGGCAACGACGTAGATAACATGGTGATTGCTGGCAATTCGGTTTTTGTAAACAAAATTGGTCTAGTAGTTGTTAATTGTTAAAAGTATTCATTTAAGAATTTTCTGTCAATTTGATTAATAGTTTAACGTGATTACCTGATCAAAAATTTAAGAAGCTTACAGAGTACCGGGCCTTGATGAATCAAATTAAGGTTAGATCTGAAATTAATTCGATTTTTCAAAATAGAACAATGATATGGATGTAAGTTATGTTTCTAAATTCTAGATTAAACGATACTTTGTATACAGGGTGACAATTTAAAAACGTACAGTCTCATGAACTAAAGATAATATCAGAACATTCTAACAGTTTCTAGGATACGAAGAGGGTACCTAAATGGCAAAATACAGAACTCACCCACATCGACTCTATATGCGCCACCTATGTCATACATCATTGGAGAGCTAGTAAACATGCTTTTCAACAATATAAGTTATACCCTAAACAGGTTGGTTCAATAATACATAATATTTAAAAACCTATTCAAAAAAAAGATGGTGGGTTTTATTTTGTATTAAAATAGTACATTCTAAAAAATATTTTTTTTATTGTTAGCTAGGTAAAAGTAATTAATATTTTCAAATCTTAAATGTTGCAAACAATTTATTTTGTACTCCTTTTAAAATATTTAATTCAGATAAACATGCCATCTTCTTTTTAAATACGTTTTTAATTATTATGTACTATTGAAATACCCTTTATAACTTATATCATTGAACAGCATTATTAGCTTTCCAATGATGTATGTAGGGGTTTGCTATTTATATAGAAATGGTTTTAAGCATTTTCTATCATCTTCAGTTCATGAGATATAGCCATTTTAAATTTTTAAATCGTCAACCTGTTAATATTTTTGCTGCATTTTCAAAAAGCGAATCCACTTCATTCTAACTTTTTTTGAGCTCTCTTACCTCCATTAAAATTTCCGCCAGAATCTTGACTATTGTCGCTATTTGTTTGTTCATTATTTCCTAGGTTCTGTCTACAGATTGGACAAGTACCATGCAGTTCCAACCATGGACGAATACATGGTTCATGGTAGATATGGAGACATGGCAACTGACGAACATTCTCTCTCAACTGAAAGTCTTCCCAGCATACTGAACATTGTAATTTAGCGGAGACTTGTTCTTCTGTCACTTCCACTATAGCTAGAGCATCGATAACTTCTTTCGACACTGGAGGGGGACCTGAATGGAACAAAATAAACGTACTTAAAGCAGGGTGATTTAATTCAAATAACGTTTTCTAAACAAGTCACGAACTATCTCAAACGTTTTCCAATAGGAGCATATTGCATTATCTGGCAACCGGAACTGAATAGAAACAATAAACATGTGGCAACTGTACAGCACCCACAATTAGGCATTCCAACGACCTGTCAAACTGCTGCCTGTGGGCGTTGATGTGGCTACCCTTCGGGCCTGGTGACTTTAACAGGGTCAATGATATACACATACATAGTGGGCCACCGGTAACGTCTTGGTCTGTAGAGCCAAAACTATTTCCCAATACCTAGAGTTAATAATTTTTAAATTTAAATGACAAAAAATAATTCACAAAATAGTTTAATTTTAACTGGCCAATAGTTAACAGGAAAAAGACTGTTTGTTAATTAGTGATTAGAATTTAACCAGATGTTTATTATTTCTACACAGTTCCGGTTGCCAAATATTTCAGTTAGGAATATGCTCCTATTGGAAAACGTTTGAGACAATTCGTGACTTCTTTAGAAAAAGTTTACTCCATTTAAAAAGCCTAAGTTTGATATTGAATTATTTTTAAATTGTTGCCTTTTCTGATATACATCTTGCTATAAAAATAGATTTTAAAAAAATCATTTAGTTTTGCCTCTACAGACTGAGGCGATTGCTCAAAGCCGGTCGCCTTGTGACCAGCCATATTGCCTTGCAAGTGTTCATTATTCAGAATTGGTTTAGCAAAAATGTATTTTAAAACCAATTTTCAGCCTTTGAATATAGTAAAAAAAATAGTTAACTGCATTTTTACTTCAAAGCGTAAGCTTATGTTTATTTAGAAAAACATGGATGATCAATCTATATAACTATCTATATCATTGACCCTGTCAAATCCACCAGTCCCACAGGGTTGCCATATTAATGCCCACGGGCAACCATTTTGTTTGGAATGCTTAATATACTGTATTAGTATGACATAAATTATGTTCCACTGACAGTTTCTAACAAACCATTCTTTCATTGAATTAGATATACAGTGAGCATCTTACCCCCCTAACTAACTCGTTACTGGGGTCTTGTTAGGAAAATCGCCGAGACAGGTCGATTTTTGATTTCTACAATGTACATTTTTGCATGATTAGTTTACCCTTAATTTCATCCCTTTTTGGAGGGTAGCAACCCTTTCGAAAAATTTAAATGGCATGGGGTAGTGAGTGATAGCTCATTTGAAAGGGGGTTTTATTCTCTATTCAACCGTGCAAACAATTTTGAAATTTGCTTCATTACGTGTTGATTTATTAATGTTTAAAAATAACAAAACCTCACAAAATAGGAAAGCAACTAGACTAACAGTGACCTTCTAATGGCAAAAAGTCTTACTTCACGTCTGAACCAAAACCGAAATCATGCAGGGCCGAATTTTAATTATAAGGATGAGTGCGCTACGTTAATTTCCGTTATTCTGAAACAATAATTAGTCGAGAATTAATGAAGCAAATTTCAAATTTTTTTACACCGTTGAATAGAGAATAAAACCCTCTTTCAAATGAGCTATCACTCACCACCCCATGCCATTTAAATTTTTCGAAAGGGTTGCTCCCCTCCAGTAAGGGATGAAATTAAGGGTAAACTATTCATACAAAAATGTACATTGTTGAAATCAAAAATCGACGCGTCTCGGCGATTTTCCTAACAAGACTCCAGTAACGAGTTAGATAGGGGGGGGTAAGACTTATGGTGCTCACTGTATACGTTTACAGGTCGTAAAAAGTAGTTTAACGATTTGTAATCAGATTATTTTTAAGGTTAAAATGAATACAATCTTGAAAATAATAGAAATAAATTATAAACTTTAACTTGTAACTTTTTTTAATACCCCAAACACTTATGACGATTTTATTAAATTTGAAAGGTTTGTTTGTAGTACTTACTAAGAGGATAATTTAAACTTGATTAGATTAAAATTATTAAGTCCAGTTGTATCCCTGAGGGCAATCTAATTAACACCCTGTATCTTAAAAAAAAAAAGGAAATTTTATATGAAATTGATTTTTGTTGCATAATTTACTTATTTTGTTGAAAATAGAAATAAAATGAATAATAACAACATTGCACGAATATACAGTTATAAGATATAATGCGAGTAAATAGGATATATCATTTGTTTAAACTACCATTAGCATGCCTTTGTTTTATTTATAGTAAATACTATCAAATAGATTGTTCACTCTAGAAACATAACTCACGAGTATTTTTAGACCAAGTTGTTTGTCTTATTGACTGACTGAAAAATTAAAAAAATAGGTCATTCTTATCAACAGATTATACAAGATGGACACAGAGACTATGAATACATTCTACATTATAAGAAAAATAACAACATTAATTATTAACTCTACAAACTAATACCTAATGAAATAAGAAAAAAAATTAGCTCTACAATATTTAAGAGTATTATGGGTTTTCAACAATTTCTTATCTTTTTAAATCTTTAAATACAAATTTTCTATGTTTTGTTTTGGTTCTTAGCCGTTTATGTTTACATCGTTTTTTATTATGAGTCTAGTAATTTTAAACTAATCCACTTTCAAGGCTTAGCCTTTAGTGGAAATGTTTACCAAATTTTTATTTGAAAAGTTGTATAATGAAATGGAGTCAAATCGTTTTGACCCAAAAATGACTTATCGGCTTATTTCCCGCAACCACGGAATTATAATAGGAAAAGAGTTCTGTTCTAGAAATAAGCTTCTAACATTAAGGTATATTTTTATTACTTTTATCTTAACGATTTCATATTTTTTTTTATATACATATATGTATATTATAGATTTACTAACGTTTTTTCTTTCAATCATTCTTTTGCAATGTGTTTTAAATTCAGGGCTCGTTATCACAGTTAAGCCTAATAAAACAATAAAATTTGTAGCTTATTGTATGAAGTTTAGTTAGGTGACAATTAAGACCTATTTAATCTAACTGATATTTGTTATAGAAACTGCCACTTCTTACTTTTTATCTGTCAAAATATTTGATACAGGGTGTTTCAGGATAAAATACATACCGTAAATTGGGAGACTTGTAGATCTTAACTACAGTTCATCAAATTTCTACAGGTGTTCGACGCCCAGACAGAGAACGCGCTACGTGTGACTAAGATAGCTATTGTACAGTCTGCTAAACAAGTTATTTTAAATAGTTTTTAATATTTTTAGGTAATTAAATTTTAAAAGTGTGGAATAGTTTAGGGATTAAATTGGTCTGATTGGACTTTCTTAGAACGTTTTTAAAAGCAGCTAAAGATAGTATGTAGAATTGAAAATAATTATTATGCCATAAAAGGTGTTTTGGAATTCCTTCAACCTTTTGAAATTGAGTCAGAAAATATAAATTTTATAGGATAGCGGAAAATACCTATAATTTTTTTGTAGGCCTTTGTAAATCGTGGAAATAGTTTATATTTTATTTCTACCTTATTAAGGAAAATGGTACATATTATTAATAACGGTTGTTTCTGAAACATTACTAAAATTTTCGAAATTTTGTTTTTCTACAAAATAATAAACTATACTATTTAGAAAAAAATTTATTTCTCTTATAATTTTATAAAAAATAACAGGGGAATATTTACATTTCTTGATCTATTAAACAAAACGATAAATTATCTCGACGAATGACACCATGTTCTAGTACGGAAGCTAGCTTTACATTTTTGTTGGTGGTTTCATGGGTTTCATATCAATTTTTTGTAATTGTAGTTTACACGTACATATACCTCTTAACACTTGTTTGCTTTATTAAAAAAGTGTGTTATTGTGATTTACGTCGAAATAAGTCAAAAACAACTTGAAACCCCATATAAAATCAAAAAGGAGAAACGGAAAAAAATTGAGCCTGTAAATGAACACAACTCAGAAACAAATATCTAATAATAAAAAATAAAATTTGATTCTTGTGCAGCTTCATCTATATCATTAACTGTTTTTGGTTTTTTAATGGTTTTTCTTGGTGATGAAAATTCCGATATCTCACGGTTATCGATTCTTTTTTTCTCTCCAGAAATGCGGACGACAGTGTTTTTAGATACTCCTGTGGCTGCAGCAACACGATCATTTACATTTTTAAATGGTATTGAAGGTGAATTAAAGTTTCCTTCTCTTCTCATAAACTCTATAACATTGGCTATTATTTCGCGAGATTGACTGTTAATCACGCGGCCTCTTAATTTGCTATTAAACTCCATACTTAGGTTCTATTAAACTGTAATGAGCAAAAAACACAAACGAAAATAAAAGAAATGTTTTAGCGAAATTTACATCTGACATTTACGTCTGAATGAAATAGTGAAATACTTGATGCGCAGAGTGTACTTTCATTGCGTAAATCCGTCGGGATGCCTGTCAGTAGTGCTTTCTCTGTCTAGCCGTCGAAAGCCTCTAGAAATTTGATGAACTGTAATTATTAAGAAAAGCTAAATATAATTTTCCTGTAAACTTCCCAGTTTTCATTCTACAGGGTGATAAAGTGAATTTCACAAATACATAATTATATTCCACGCCTTGTTCTCAATGATCATAGGTAGTACCCACCTTTTCCCGCTCTGTGGCCACGTATTTTAAAGTCTAAATACCCTCAAAAGTATTTAGAAAGCTCCAAAATAACTGGTATCCCAGTCCTTCCCACCTCTGCTCCCGTCTCGTGACAGTCAAGCACACTCTTGAGCCATTCTTTCTTTTCGTCCCTGTGGTTACACGTAAATAATTTGCTTATCATTATTAATTATCAAAAATACATACATGGGTAAATCAAAGAAGAACATTTTTACAACGGGGAAGTCTCCGCCGAGGAAAACAAGCTGGTTGAACAAAAACGACACAAAATATCCCATCACATGGATGTTGAACAAAATGGCGGCACAAATGGTAAACGCCTTTTATAAATTGCAATTTTTTTTGTTTGTTTTAGGTATGAATTCATACTCCATCGATCAGCAT